ACAGGATGGTTTGGGTTGGAAGGAACCTTAGAGATCATCCAGTTCTAACCCACCTGTCATGGGCAGAGACACTTTCCACTAGACCAGGTTGCCCAGGGCCTCATCCAAGCTGGATTAATGTCCCCTATACATCCCTAATCTTTTGCTAATTTGGATTGATTGGAGAATAAAGAGCAAAAGGCACAGTGCCTCCAGTCACAGGTAGCTTCACCAGCAGCGGCGCATGCTTGGTGCAGCCTGACTTTATACCTTTCTTTCTGTGGCATGATGACTAATTTTGCAGTGAAGAGGAATTAATTCCTCATTGAATCAGCAACAGCAAACCTTGGTAGGTTTTGTTTTTCATAGCCGACACTTCGACTCATCTCACTCTCTCTGAGAAGTGATGTCAAAGCAAACACATGTGGGGCAACTCAGGGCTGGACTGCAACCTGCAGCTCCTGTGCTGCACCCAGGCACCCACGCAGGGCAGAGGAGCACAGAGACCTGCTCAGAGCTCAGCCCAGCATCTGAGCTGAGAACAGCCTTGAGGGGTGCTCCCAGCAGCCAGACACACAGGGTTCTGGAACTCCCAAAACCCCGCTCTGCCGCGGTGGTGATGGCCACCAGCGCTGCACAGCTGCCAGCCACACTTCCCTTCCCTTGGCCAGGCCCCTGCTACACACAGGCCACTGCTGGGCTGGCCCACAGCTTTTCATTTCTCTGTCTTTGGGGCTGGCAGTGTGGGAAAATTTGAAAGTGATGTGAGTAATTTCACCTGACTGCGGCTCGGCTCCCCGGCAAGGCTGGAAACCACAGCACTCGCCCTGGCCACCAGCTCCTGCACCCAGACACCCTGTGCTGAGGGGGATGGATCCTGCTCCCTCCCAGCCTTCCCTCCTCCTGGCTGGGGTCCTGGGGACACCTGGCTCCAAGGGTCACACAGGGGTTATGGGACTTTCCCCTCCCTTCAGGCTCCTCTGCATCCATGGATGGGCAGGGGCTCCCACACTGCAGGGTTTCCAGCAGTTTTGGCTCTCAGGATGTTGGCTGATGTTCTGGGAGCTGTGGTTTGTGCAAGGCAGGCAGTACCCTGTTATCCTCCATGGGGAGCACGGCATCCCTTGAAGTCACATCCCCAAAGAAAATTTAACAGCATGAAATCTAATATTTTTCACTATTGCAAGGGGCAGTAGATTTAAACTACTTTATTTTAGTTCTGAATTGTCTTCTACCAGAAGATTAATTAAAGTCATTCCTATGCACAAAAGCAGCTGTGGAGCCTAGCACTGGTGGGATGTTGGGATCCTCAGCAGTCCCACAGGCAGCGTGGTGTGACCCCTGCTGCTTTTAATAGCTGTGTTCAGTTGTAGCAAGGAATACTTTTCACAGGTTACAAAACATCCTCTTTTTTTTTCATTTGTTTCTTTTCCTAAACTGATACAAGCAGGAAAAAAAAAAAAAACCTTATTTTTTTTTCTACAGTATTTTCAGAGTTAAAAACTCAAAGAGTTTTACCAGCCATGGGAATTCTTTAGTTTGATCACTTCCCCTCGTGTCAATTCAATATTCTTGGGAGAAAACATTTACATCAGGTTAATTTTATGGAATAAAACATTGTCAGTTTTGAATAGCCTCTTCAGGGTTCAGATACTGCAGCTGATTTGCAGGAATGTAATCTAGATCTTGCAAAAAACAGGGAATTGACCCCATTTCTCTAGCATATGGGTGTGTATAAGGTATGGTTTCATACTGCAGCTGGAGCTGCAGTCACAGCTCTGGGCCACAACCATTGGCATCTGCAGCCTTTGAAACAGGATCAACAGAATTTTCTCTATTTCTCCATACTTTTGTGTAGCATTTCCTTCTTCCTTTAATTTTGAGAGATGGGTTCCTGTAATAAACTCCATAATGGAGGAAGTGGAAAGGGGAATAAATAGCCCCTTGCAGAAGTTATTCTTGTCTCCTTGATGGTCATCCTTCCCCACCAGATCTTTATGGCTTTAGAGAGTAGAGAAGTTTTTGAGTGAGGCAAATGTAGAAGGGTCATGGGGAAGGCAGCTCTTCTTACTGGTGCAGTGTGTTGTTTTCCACCTGAACTCACTGGAAAACTTTGAGTGATTGACCTGCAAGTCTTGTTGTACCACAGGTTACCATTGAACCACAGAATGGTTTGGGTTGGGAGGGACCTTAAAAATCATCTCCTTTCAATCTCCTGTCATGGGCAGGGACACCTTCCACTAGCTCTAAGCCTAGTCCAACCTGGCCTTGAACACTTCCATGTTTAGCTTTGTTGGGGAGGAGGACAGCCCATGCTGTACTCTAACCACATAGACTTCCTGCTTTTCCCTGGGGAGGCATCCTGCAGATCAGCATCAGAACAGTTCATCTGCCTTTGGAGTGCTCTGTGTCTTCTGTCATTGCCCTGGAAGCTGTTCTCAGTCGTCAGGCAGTGAGGCTGGCTGGTGAATGGTGCTGTGCCTTGGGTCAGGCATGAGGCAAATGGTGAAGAAACATCTGCCCTACTTTGAACAGAAGAAATGCTTGAGTTGAGGTTTTCAAAACAGCTCAACATTGAGCTTGTTCTGCTCCAGTGTCATGTTAGAATGTACATGTGGAACTGCATGGCCCTCATTTAGGCTTTGTTGCGCTTAAATAAGCTAAACCATAGCTAATTTTAGAAATATCACTGAAAAGCTCTTCTTCATCTCATTTCATGGCTAAGAATAGGAAGAGCTCAGAGCTCCAAACGTGTTCAACTAAGCAGGAGCCAGCCCAGTGCTGCTCTCAGTGGGAAAAACCACATAACCCATGGTCCTGCTGCAGGACAGGAATGCCTGTACCACACCAGTTTGTGCTGGGAAGGGGGGGTTACATTCCCAGTAACCCAGCATATGCAGTAAATCTAACCTGTTAAACATCAGGAATTATGGTTTTCATTCATTCTCTAATGCAAACCTGCGTGCCTCTTGGTTTCTATTTGCATGAGCAAACTTTTGTGGGCAAGGCAGATGTAAAGCAGTGTCTCCATCAGTCTATTTTCCTTTCTGCTTCATGGGTTTCCTCCTCAGAGAAGGGGTACGAAACACAGGACCTGTGCAGGGCTCCCAGTTCACTTGGAGCAGCTGGGATAGATCCAGGACAGGTTGATCAGAGCCACTCGCTGTGTCTCTGCCTCCTTCACCAAAGCCAACTGGAGCTTTGTGCCCATTCTGCCTAAGCAAAATCATTACCAAAGTGAAAGGCACCTGTGGATTGAGTCCAGGGATCCTAAATGACTTGTCAAAAGTCACACAGCAAATCATCTGTGCACATCCCAGTGAGGCTGATGAAAACTGGCTGGCATGCCCAGCTCCCAGCCCCTGGAGAGCTGTCTGACCTGCTCTGTTCCCAAATTCACCCTTTTTGGAGTGCTGTTGCTCCTGTTTCTTTTTGTGGATATATCTGGGACAAATCCTAACATTCCACCACCAAGATGAAGTCAGTTTGGATTTAAAGGCAGCCATGGGCGAAACTGGGCATGTCGGAATCAGCACGAGACGCTTGAGGCAAGGAGGCTGCGTGGATGGCAACGAGTGTGTGTGTGTCTCTGTGTCTGTGTCTGTGTGTGTGTGTGTGTCTGTCTCTGTGTGTCTGTGTGTGTGTGTGTGTCTGTGTTTGTGTGTGTGTGTGTGTGTGTGTGTCTGTGTGTCTGTGTGTCTGTGTGTGTGTCTCTGTGTGTCTGTGTGTGTGTGTCTGTGTGTGTCTGTGTGTGTGTCTGTGTGTGTGTGTGTGTGTGTGTGTGTGTCTGTGTGTGTGTGTGTGTGTGTGTGTGTGTGTGTGTGTGTGTGTGTGTGTGTGTGTGTCTGTGTCTGTGTCTGTGTGTCTGTGTGTGTCTGTGTCTGTGTGTCTGTGTCTCTGTGTGTGTGTGTGTGTGTGTGTGTGTCTCTGTGTCTGTGTGTGTGTGTCTGTCTGTGTGTGTCTGTGTGTGTGTGTGTCTGTGTCTGTGTGTGTGTGTGTCAGTGTGTGTCTGTGTCTCTGTGTGTGTGTCAGTGTGTGTGTGTGTCTGTGTCTGTGTTTCTGTGTGTGTGTGTGTGTGTGTGTCTCTGTGTCTGTGTGTCTGTCTGTGTGTGTCTGTCTGTGTGTGTCTGTGTGTCTCTGTGTGTCTCTGTGTGTGTCTGTGTGTTCCTTGCAGCTCTGCAGCCCTTCCAAACAGCTTCCCCTCTCTCTGCTCCCACACACACGAGGAACTTCCTGTTGCTTTCACCAAAAGTGCCTTTTCCGAGGTGCTCTGACAGCCATGCTGTGCAGAACCAGGAGAAGCTACAAGAGGAAACAGATTTTTATTTGCTTACTTTTCCTGGATTTTTTTGCATCTCCAGCATTACCTCAGCTCCCTCTGGTCCTCCTCCAGCCCTGGAGCTGGGTCCAACAGGGATTTCAGCCCAAGGGCTAGCTGGTGACCATGTCCAATTTTCAAAGGCATTACCCTCAGCATTAATGGTGGCCTTGGCAGAGCTGGGTTAATGGTTGGACTTGATGATCTCTATAAAGTCTTTTCCAACCTAAATGATTCTGTGATCCTGTATCTGTCTCTCCATGACAGCCCTGATTAATAAAGCCCAAACATGACTTTCACAGGGAATATGAAAGATTCACTGTTAAAATCCAGATTTAGACCCTGTGGTAGTCCAGGATAAAGAACTACAGCTCTGCATTGGATAACACACTTGAAGCATTCATCCTGGAATAAAAGATACTGGAAATGAATGGGAAAAAAGTTCTGAACTTTGAAAACTTCATACTGGTGATCTGTTTTCCACTTATCCAAGAAATCATCTCCAGCTGGTTTTCCTGCTTGGTTTATAGATTTTTTTTGTAGGATGCTGCAGTGTTTGTTCAGTAATTTGTTTAGTGTTTATGTAGTGTAATTTTAGTTATTCCCAGCCTTGCTGGCAACAGCAGGACTGCAGAGGGCACTGGCCCTCCTTGCTGGTGGATCTTGATGACTTCTGAGCCCTGTCCATCCCTGTGTCTTGCAGTCCAACAAAGTTCCCGTCGTGCAGCCGTCGCACGGAGTGCACCCGCTCACCCCGCTCATCCCGTACAGCAACGACCATTTCAGCCACGGCTCCCACTCACCCCACTTGCCCGCTGACATCAACCAGAAACAAGGTAATGGCAGGGCTGGGACCTGTGTGCTGGGAGGGGGACAGAGCTGGAGGTGCTGAGGCTGGCACCTTCCTGGTCCCAAATCAATGAGAAAAATCCGGGCCTTTGGTCAGCTGGGACATTTCGTAGTGGTAGGAGGTTATTTAGCTTGTTGGGAATGATTTGTGATCTGATATGAGCAGTTTGATACCAAAAGTGCCAGCCCTGCTGATGGAGTGTGCTCAGTTCCCTGTACAAGCTGACCTGAACCCTGAGACCAGACCAGAGCCTGCATGATAATGCACAAGAGTCAACCAGAAAATGGAAAGTAATATTTCCTTTGACTCATACCCAAACTCTTGTCAGGTTGTCATTTTGAGAAAATGCTTGAAACTGGAAATATTTTGACTAAACAGGATCGGTGTCTGATAGTTGACTGGATTGTGACACGTGTGTCCCCATAGCCACAAGATATGTGGTTGTCACCTGGTTTGGCTTTTTGTGCTCCTGTGTGAGCCCAGGCTGTGTCAATTGGCTCATGGGGCTATGGAGGAAAGTACAATACTCTAAAATAAAGATGTAAATACAAGTATGTGTTGAGGAATTCAGCCCAGTCCATCATTTCATCATTCTTCATGGCTTCCTGGCAAACTGAGTGTAAAATCAAACTTTCCTCAACCTTACATTAGTGCAGAACATCTGTTCTGATTACCCAGGCTTCTACACAAACCTGGGCTTGATTTCATGGGAAAGCAAGCAAACTGGCAGTTTTGTGTCAAACTGCATTCAGGAAGGAGGTCAGTGTCCACCAGAGCCCAAAAACCAGTGCCAAAACAGAGGCACAAAACCAACTGCTGTGATTTGGGCAAGGGCCTCCACCCAGGAGTGATCCAAACTGTCCCAGAGACATCAGCTTCACCAAGTTAACATCATTGATAAAACAATGGGTTATTGAGGATACTCTTGGCTGGAGGACTCACTGAATAATCCCTGGTCTGAACCTGGAGGCCACATTCTGGACTCATCAGGGATGCTGATGGTTTAGGTCTGGTATAAGAGATACCCAGGCACATCCTGGTTGAATTCAGGCAGCATGTTGCTTGTCAGCCATCAAAGCATAATGAACTCAGCAGAAAAATAGGAAGAGTTAACAAAATAAACCTACTGAAATCTCATGTAGTGGCTGAGAAACACTGAGACAGTGTGCAAGAAAGCAGCCCAGCACACCTTCCCCACACTGCCTTTGTTGTACCTGGCAGAGCTCTGCCCCTCCAGGAGCCACTCACCGTGAGCTGCCTCCTGGGACTCCTGGGAAACCTTAAGTGATACAAGAGCACTTGCCCAAGGGCAGAGCTGGTTATTATATCCCTCTGTGGAGGCTACAACTGGCACTGGAGCAGTCCCTGAGCATTCACCTCTGTGGTGGGTCAGTCATTCTAGGACACTGTTGTTGGGCTGCCCACCTGCAGCCTCTGTGCAGGCACTGACCAGTCTTCCCTGCCCGTTTCGCCTGTACTTCTACAGACACAGGGAGTTTGTCCCAGAGACTGCCCCATGTGCTATTCAAGGAAAGGTTCAGCCTTGATCCTCAGCTGGTCTTGCCTTTGTGGTGCAGCTGGGATCATACACACCCTGCACTGCTGGGGTGAGAGTTTTCTTTCTGTATTCCCCCTGGATGTGCCCCATCTGTGTTTTCATCACTGAAATAGCTGCCATTATCACCCACTGTAAGTGCTTGAGACTCACTCTCATACTCATTCTCACAGCATCCCTTTAAAGTTTCTCACAGTAGCCCAAGGACACAAATGAGGAAATACAAGCAGGAATTCTGAGTCAATGGCTGGTGCCCCAACCACTGGGCCAGCAAGAATAACTTGTGCTCTGACTTACGCAACTCACAACTCATATTGTTGGGGGTGCAAATCTGAGGATGTTCCATCAACTGCCTTGTGCAGGGCTGGTTTTGTTTGACCCTCCATGGACCACTGAGTCCCACTTGAAGCAAATCTCATACTGGGTTACATATTCCTGTCAGGTCAGTTATACATTTATTTTAGCTGACTCCTAATAGAATGCTTAGAATCTGTTGGCGTAATTCCTAATTAATAAGGTACCATTCATATACCTAGGAGAAAAATCCAATTGCAATTGCTTGCAGCACATCACCAAATTAGTCCATGTGTTTCTCATCTGGGGCAGCCACTCAACAATCCCTGTTCCCTGTGTTTGTCTGAGGGTCGATAGCAGCCATCACTACACCACACTGTTCCAGAGCTCAGCCCCAGCACCTCTCCAGTTTCCCAGTGCAGGGGTCAGCTGGAGGCTGTTTTTGCCAGTAGCACTGTGGTTGTCTGAGTCCCACCCGCAGCCCCAGGCAGCACAGGATGTTTTCCAGCCCAGATAGGAACGGAGTGGAGCGATGCTGCAGCTGTGTCCCCTGGCCATGCTGCCCATGCCAGCAGCTTTGAAGATCACACAGGGATTCCCCATACAAAGGGTGAATTCCCAGCTGGCACCATACCCACCTCCACAGTTCCTTGGCACCAGCAAAGCCGCAGAACACTTGTTTTGAACTCAAATTGCTTAAAATGAAGTTGGAAGTGTTGCCTGCTGGAGCATCCCCACTGCCTGCTCATGGGGGGTCCTGCAGATGACTGATGGAGAGGGAGCATAGGAATGGCCTTGACTGAGCACTGGGGTGGACTCGCTCTCTGGGAAGGGCAGAGAGGTGCCTGGAGTCAGCCAAATCCTTACCAAAGCACGGTCCTGCTCGGCCTCAGGTGGCATGGGGCAGCTATGATGCTTGTGCAAGAGCAAGATGCCTCCTCCACCCCCTCCTTATGTTTGTGATTTTGCAGCAGTGTGGATGACCCACCACACCCCCACAGGGAGAACCACAGGAAACACCATCCTGCCACTTGCAGATAGCTATTTCATATGGCTGTCCGCAGGAGTTCATAGATGGAGCAGTCAGGGGGTTGGGAGCCTCCCTTCTTGCAGGAGTGCACCGTCCTTCCCAGACCTCAGACATCCCTGGTTTCTACCCCCTGCCCCCCGGAGGAGTCGGCCAGATCACGCCGTCGATGGGCTGGTGAGTGAGGAGGGCTCGGTTCTGTGCAGCCCCAGCCCCACTGGATGTGTGGGTTGGGGATGGGTCACTGAGCCAGCCACTGCAGCCGCTCTCCGTGACCTCCACGGTGCTTTCCTCCAGCTTCATGCCTCCTGTGTGCTGTGTGAAGAGGGAGGAGAATTTAGCCCTGTCTTGGAGGTGGGAGCAGACCTGTGGAGAGGCTGAAGGCTTCGTCCTGGCTGAGGCATCCCTGGAGAGGGGTTACAACCTGCCCAGTTCAGAAGTGACTTCTGCTTTACATCTGTCCATGTGGATTAGGGAGCCCAGAGAGAGCTTCCTACCCACCCCTCCTAATCACAGCAAAAGCCTCTTTTTTGAGTAGGAGGTAATTTTCTCCCTCCCTGGACTTTTCGGCACAAACAGTGCTTTTCCTGAGCATGCCACCAGCATGGAGTAATCCCGTGGGATGCTCCATCTGCCAGGCCATGGTGTTTCTTGGGATCTGACACACAGGAAAAAAGTACATCATGGCAGAGACCTGCCAGATAGCAGCCTGGGTACCTACAGCCTGGCTACAGCTCGGTAGGTTACAGGTGGTAACCACTGCTCCAGCAGCCATGGGAAGGAGAGACCATGAGCTGGAGCACTCACAAAATGTACCCCCTGCATGCACCATCCCTGCAGAGCATCTTGCAAAGCACAGCCTGCTGGTAAACCTGCCCCAGGGACACAAGTTAAAAATACACCATTGTGTTCTCTGTGGTCATTGCCACTGGCTTTTGTCCCTGTGACCATGAGCACACTGAGAGAGCGTGTCTGGCAGGTGCTGCCATGTGGGCATCATCACTCCTCAGATTAATATATAATCCCCAGTGATGAAGTAGGAACATGGCAGAGGCTGACAGGGAGACTGGTGACTGCAGGTGGCAGTTCAGGGTTGCTGGGATGAGGAGAGAGTGCAGGGCAGGTGATGACAGGGACAGTTTCCTGCAGTCCTGGTGGATAAAACCCTGGCAAAGCCTGGCAGAGAGCTTCACGTACAAGAACCTATTGCAGAGTGGGAAAGGGGAAGCTGCTTAAAGCACAAAGGAAAATGTTAGCTTTTGCTTTGTTTTGTTTATGAATTTCATGTTCCAGATATTTAACCACAAGGAAACAGAGGATGAGGCCTTTGATACAAGGTCTGGCTTCAAAGAGATTACATTTTGCCTTCTGTGCTAAATCTGCTACTCTTGGGTGATGATTTAACTTCTCATATGATGTGATTCATCCTCAGGAAAAACAAGGACTAGGGTGACTGTGCTGTAACATGAAAGAAATAGTTGGAGCAAGGAGAAAGGAGCCTGTTTGTCAAATGGAATGTCCACTCCTGGGTTAGAATGATGCTGTTCAGACAGCCCTGGGCTCATGAAGGGAGAGCAGTCTGGTTTTTTATGGAGATTTTGTGGGGCAGTTGGTGGTAGAGAGAACTTTGTTGGTTGAGAGCTGCTCCAGCTTTGGTAGGGTTTGGCAGCCTCCTGCAGCCTCATCAGATGCCTTCATTAATGGCAAATAGAGCAGATACAGTAAAGCAACAAACGGCCTGACATGCAGAGAGGAGCACCTGGAGGCACATGTGTCTAATAGAGCTTTTGCTCATTCTTTTCCTTGCCCAAAATGTGTGGAAAGAGCCCCAAACCCACTTGTGGAGTGCCCAGTCCTCAGCTGAGGCTCAGCACACCACTGTGGGTGGGTGCAGAAGCACTGAAGTTCACGGCAGCAGCAGGCAGCAGGGGCTGTGTGCCAGGGGTGGATGTGCTGGGGATGATCATGCCGGGGATGTATCCCAGAGAAGCTGTGGCTGCCCCATCCCTGGATGGATCAAGGCCAGGATCTTGAGCAGCCTGGTCTAGAGGAAGGTGTCCCTGCACACAGCTGGGGATTGGAACTGGATAATCTTTAAAGTTCCTCCCAACCCAAACCATTACAGGATTCCGTGGCTGTGCTGGTGCCACCAAGTCAGCTGCCAGGCCAGGGCAGCTACACATGGGAAACAACTTTTCCTCCACAAGCTGGCAGCAGGAGCTGGGCAGAAACTGGTTTTGTTCTCACTGAGCGTTTCAGGAGGAGGAGCTGCAATCACTCTCTGTAATTAAGCTGGGATGACAGTCAGATAAAAGCTTTCAAAAGTCCAGTCAAGTGAGTTTTGCTTCTGGGAGCCTGGCAGTTAACATTAGCCAGGAACCTGCAAATTGTGTCACTCACCTGTGCCCGGGGCCAAGCAGTGGTGCCATGGCAGCCTCTCCTCCACCATCCCACAGCCTGTATTCTGAACCACCCTCCCATCACCAGCTGATCCTCTGGAAACAGGCTGAGAGAGCTGGGATGTTCAGCATGGAGGAGTTTCCAGGGAGGCCTCAGAGCCCCTTCCCACACCTAAAAGGAGTTTATAAAAAAGAGGGAGATGGACTTGATATATGGGCAGATAGTGATAGGACAAGGGGGAACAGTTTTGAACTAAAAGAGGAGAGTTGGATCAGATGTTAGGAAAAAGTTCTTTACAGCAGAGGGTAGTGAGGCCCTGGCACAGGTTGCTCAGAGACACTGCAGCTGCCCCATCCCTGGAGGTGTTGATGGTCAGGTCAGACAGGGCTTGGAGCATCTGGATCTCATGAAAGGTATCCCTGCCCCTGGTAGGAGCTTGGAATGAGACAAACTTTAAGGTCCCTTCCAACCCAAACCAGTAATTCCTTGATAAGGGGCTGTAATCGTGCACTCCCAACCATCAGGGACTGATTTTGCAGTTGTTTTAATTCACATGTCAGAGGGACTTCAGATGAAGCTGCAAGTGCCCAGCTCCATTCCTATACCAATATCCTGGCCTCTGGAGTAACACAGGTCGCTTCTGGATTAGCTACAAGTGTTTTCTCAGCCCTGGGGCAGTCGCCTCCAACTTCAGAAGTTGTTTCAGTTTCCCGGTGAGCAGCAGCACTTGCCTGTTTGTTGGTGTGTTTATACCCTCCAACATCTGAGGGCTTGGAGAGGGCTTCTGCCTGCCAGGGTGTAAACAGCCCCAGCTGCCTTTCCTGCAGACAGATCCCACAGATTTCAGTCAAACCAATACACAGCAGCAGGAACAGGAGCCTCCTTCCTGCCCAGCATAGCTCAGGGGTCTGACTGCTGCCCTGCTGTCATTATTCCTCTTCAGGGCAGAAACCTGTTTTTAGCCCCAAAAAATCTGAGGCATCCAGAAGCTTGGGTCCTTCACAGTGCATCATACTTAATGATAATGGAGTTTTTGTGGATTTTTTCATCATTAGAGCTGAAAATAGCTGGTCCTGGGTTTAGGTACAGCTCTGTGCAGCCTGGCCAGAGGAGTGTGAGTACCAGCACAGTTGTAAGCACCCCATTGTGCCCCATTCCTGGAAGTGTTCAAGGCCTGGTGGGATGGCATTTGGAGCAACCTGGTATAGTGGAAGATGTCCCTGCTCATGGCAGGGTGGGTTGGAATGAGATGAGCTTTAAGGTCCCTTCCAACCTAAAGCATTCTTTTATTTTAAGGTCCCTTCCCAGCTAAACCATTCTGTAATTCTATGATCTCGGTTTCCATGTGCAGTTTTAAGCTAGAAGCATCTTTTGGCAGGTTTGCAGAACAAGCCAAGGTATTTTTGAGCTATTTCCATATGAAAATGTGAGGGTTCCCTTGCTGGGAACAGCAAGGAACTTCCTGCATAGTTATTTTACTATCTCAAAAATAATTTCCAGCCCCAGGTCTGATACATGCCTGGTCCCCAGTATGAAACAACTTTCAAAAAAGAATGCAGGGCTGAGCTTTTGTCTTCTTTGAAACTGATAGGTGTCCTTAAAAGGATGTGCTGGGGAAACCAGAGCGTTCCTGAGGCACAAAGGCAGGGTATGTACTTTCTCTCCAGACTGCGGGAGTCTCCTGTGCTTGGGGCATCACAAAGTAGATGAAGTTGGAAGTGACCACAGTGGTCATCTGGTCCAACCTCCCTGCTCAAGCAGAGCTGTTCCAGAGCACATGGCCCAGGATTGCATCCAGACAGTCCTGGGATATCTCCAGTAAGGGAGGCTCCACACCCTCTCTGGGTCACCTGTTCCAGTGCTTGGTCACTGCACAGTAAGGAAGTTTCCTCATATTTATCCTCCTGGTGCAGCTTCTTATGCACCACACAGAGATTCTCAGCAGGCTTTAATTTTTTTTTTGGTCCCACTGTGCTCTTTTGAGCAACTTCTTCTGTGCAATAGCAACATCTGATTTTTCATCATGCCTCTGCACTTTGCATTGTTAGCAGGTAAACTCAAAGCTGCGGTGTTAGTCAGTACCAGGGGCAGAAGGGGGTCAGAATTGTATCCAAGCTTTTAGGAAGGCCCAGGTTCTCTCTAAATAACATCCAAAGCCCACACTGCTCCTCAAGCCTAAGGGACACCGAGTGTCTGCCCAACAGGGGCATCAGTGCTGAGTCCCATTAGCAAAGGGTATCTTTAGGAAATACCACGTAGCTGTGGATACTTTATAGACTCTTTCTTCCTGATCCCAGGCAGAGCCAGTCTGTCTATCCGCTCCCGTCATGTGGATTTAGACAGCCGTATTCGTCAGCGCTTTCTGCTGGGGCTTCTTTCTCCAGGTGAGTATGAGCTGTGTGAGACAGGGCAGCTCGGCTGGTCACGCAGCTTGCAGTTTGTGCAGCAGGAGCTTGCAGCAGACCACAGCCACCCAGGGACAGCCACACACCCTGCCCAGGGCAGCCGTGGGAAGAGAAGGCACTTTGAGGCAGTGTCTGGTTCAAAGGGTGCTCAGGGGAATGTTGAGGATGAAGGATGCACAGCGGTTGGGTTTTATTCAGCAGAACTCTAAAGAGAGTCAGAAACTCCAGCCTTCAGCTCAGTTTTGGGAAAATGGGGTGGAATTCATGGCTCAGGATTTTTCTCCGTGTCACTTCCCTAATCCTGTTGTGTCCCTGCTGCCGTCACCGCTTTGCTCTGCAGAGATGGATCTGGTTTATTTGTCTCAGCTTTAAAAGCAGGACAGGAGGGGGCAGTGATTTGCTGCCCTCCCATCAGCACAAGTCATTTCTGTGAGATGTAAATACAGCTTCTGCCTTCAGGTGAGCAAAATGCATTCCCTGTGGATGGGAATCACAGAGCCCAGCTCTTCCAGGTGTGCTGCTGGCCAAAGCCCCTGTGGCTCCATAGGGATGCCAGGGCCACACCAGCTTTTGCTTCTGCTTCATGTTGTCCTGAAGAGCTGTTAGTGGAGATTTCCCACAGGAAGACCATACAAACCCTTGCTCATGCAAACGCTGCTTAGCCATGCAGAAACCTCAATCCATACAACACTTGATCCATGCATCCCTTGATCCATGGAGCCCCTTAGCTCTGCAGAAGAGGGGAGGGAGTGCTGCCAGCCCTCCTTTCTCGCAAGGTATCACTTGTGCACAGCCTCAAAAGTGAAGGCAAACAGAGATAATGGTTCCCTGTGGAGCCCCAGTAGCCTTCCTGAGCTCCTGCTGCAGGATTTTGGGCTGGATTTTGCAGCATTGCTGCAGCCGAGAAAGTACACCTGGTCAGATAAGGATCAGACTGTGCTGGAGTATTAAATTAAACAGCTTTTCTTTTCGTGCCAGCATATCTAATGAACAGTTCATCTCCCATGGGCAATTCTGCCATCTCAAGCTGCAGTCATAAAGTGGCAAGCTTGGCAAAGCTGACTTTGCTGGCTTTATCCTCCAAAACTCCGAAGAGAGCTAATGAAGCCTGAGAGCTAATGAGACCTCTCGTGATCTCAGCCCATATTGTGGGAGAGCATTGCTTAGGCAAGGTGCACCTCCTAGAGTTGCACTTGGGTTCATGTTCAGACTTAGACTATTTCTGTTAAAAGAAAGATGCGGGGTGGTCCTAATCTCTCCCATCCAAACCCCAGGTTGAGTTTGTTGTTCCTGTCTGCAGTGCTAATGAGATACTGCGACAACAGAGATCTGAGTAGCTGAAACTGCTGAGTGGAAGTGCCCTTGATCTCAGCCAGGCTGGTTCCTGTTGCAGGCAAGTTCCCTCACTGTGGCACCGGATCCTTTCCATCCACACGCCCAGGGCTTCACCAGCCGTGCCACAAGGGTGACCAAGGGTGGTGGGCACTGCCTGCTCCCCGCCAGCCTGGCAGCTCCTGCGTGCTTTCCGTGTCCTTGCTTCCATCTGCTTCCGCACAGCAGAGCGCGCTCCGAGGGACGCCGCCCTGGCTGCTCGGCACCCGCAGTGTCCCCAGCCCGGCTCTGCCCTCCCGGCACGGCTCACCCGCTCTCTGTTGCAGGTTCACCCACCCACTGATGCTGGGCTCTGGCATGCACACCACTGGCATCCCGCACCCCGCCATCGTGCCCCACTCCGGCAAGCAAGAGATGGAGCACTACGACCGAAACATGTGAGTGGGAAGTGCTGGCTCAGCAGCACCAGCAGCTCAACACCCATTTCATTTATCACTCTCAGTGCTCAAATGGCAGGAGGATGGGTAAACATGGAGCTGTGCATCTGAGGAGCAAATCTCAGGCCACCCCCACCTGCTCGTGCTGTTGGGTTGTTTTGGGGTCAAGTCTTCTGGTGGCTCTGATGCTGACAGCCCCTCCTTTTGTCCCACCAAGGAAACCTCAACCAGAACCAAAGAGAGAGAAGGAAGCCAAGAAGCCCACTATTAAGAAGCCCCTGAACGCTTTCATGTTGTATATGAAAGAAATGCGGGCAAAAGTCATCGCTGAGTGCACCCTGAAAGAGAGTGCTGCCATCAACCAGATCTTGGGAAGGAGGGTAAGAGCTCACGGGGCCCGGTGTCATCACCTAGTGCCACATCCCTGTCCCTTGCAGCTGCTATTAAGTACATAACAAGCACCTGCTTCAAATCTGGGTGCTCTTATCCCATAAACATGGGGGGCTGGATGTGCCCTGGGGCGGGGTGGCCTCGGTGGGCTGGGCTGGGACAGCAGAGCCATGCTTCACTGCTGTTTGTCCTTGCAGTGGCACGCGCTGTCCCGCGAGGAACAAGCCAAGTACTACGAACTGGCTCGCAAGGAACGGCAGCTCCACATGCAGCTCTACCCCGGCTGGTCTGCCAGAGACAACTACGTGAGTGCCACCGTACTCAGACCCCCACCCTATGGCATGGCCCACAATGGCCTGGGGGGCTGGCTGGTGTTCATCAAGCACCTGGTCCTGGCAATGCCTTTCCTGGAAGCACAAGAGCCATAGAAATTCACATTTCAGGAGTATTTTGAACACCCTATTGCCTGTCCAAAGCGTGAACGATACAGCCCCCAGCAACCACAAGCATTTATTTGCTTATTGTCCAAGCAAATAGAAATAGGAAGGGAAGCTTTTAAGTGCTGTGGATATATCTTTGTAAATACAATTTTATGGAAGCAAACTGCTCTGTGCATCTTGGACAGCAGCTGAGGTATCTGTGAGGGTGGGGAGGCCCTGGCACAGGTTGCCCAGAGCAGCTGTGGCTGCCCCATCCCTGGGAGTGTTCAAGGTCAAGTTGGACAGGGCTTGGAGCAACCAGGTCTAGTGGAAAGTGTCCCTGCTCTTGTCAGGGTGCTAGAACAGGATGTGTTTGAGGTTCCTTTCAACCCAAATAATTCTATGATTCTGTGATTTAAAATAGTGGCTCTTTTTGTAGGGGGTCTTTTTTTGCGACTTTCATGTCTGTTTTGGTATTAAATGTCTAACAAGCTCATTAGTGAACTGAAGCAAAGCATATATAAGTCTTCAGATGTCTGTCCATCCACATATCTCCATCATTTCTCTCATAGATACTTTCTTACCTCTGGGAACTATGCAGTGAGTGCCCTTCCTTCCCACACTGACTCCAGCCCTTGTCCTTCCAGAATGACAAAACTCCACCAAGGGCAATGCAACGCCCCTAAACAGACCCAAACCACCCCAAACTCCCCCCAAAAACAGAGGGCAGAGATAATTCAGAAACAGCAGATGTGATGGGAAGCCCCCAGCCCACACTTTGGTGGGCACACATCTGGAGGGCATCAGCATTGCTGAGAGCATGGCACCATCTTCCTCCAAGAGCAAGCACATCCTCCATGGAAATCCCAGTCCTGTAACATTTTTATCTGGTTCCTTGGGGAACCAAGGGCTGATTCCTTTCTACAGAAGATAGATGACATGCTCCAGAAGTGCATATTGGTCCTCCCAGCACTGTTAACTAGCTGGTTTGGGTGTTGAGGTTGTTGGTAGAGATGCTTTTCTCTCCAAAGTTGAGCAGGGTTGAGGAGGAGGAGGAAAGTAGGTCTCTTGTGCAGCACATGATGCAGATATCAGGCAGGAAATACAGTTGCTCCCTCACTGAAGAAAAAGCTTACTGCAGCTCAGAGCTTTCCACCTTCACTCAAACCACAAGAAGTCATATAAGAAGTCACAGGTCAAAGGCAGCCCTAGGAGCTGCCTGTACCACACAACCAAATTTTCCCCCATGCTGCTGTGCCCTCATTAAACAGGGGCTTTATTAGGGGACGAGGGGAGCTGCTGCATCTTGTGAATCAGAGAGGCAGTTTGGGATAAAATAGGACTTTTTTATTAGTGAAAGAAGAATGAGAGATGGGTCCAGAATTGCAAAAGCACTGAAATAGATTAGTATTATTGAAAAATAAATTTCTGGGGATTTCCTAAAACTCTCTTTCCCATTTGGAGTCAGGGAATATCAAGCACCAGTTTCAGTTTGGGTATAAAGCACCACATTAAAGCACGTTTTGGAAATAGGAAAGGTTCTAAAATGGATCAAGTGCTTTTTAGAAACATAAGGAGGAGAAATAAGAATATGACAGGAGCACATGAGCTATTAATCATACTCTCTCCACTGCATGCAGCAAATCTTGTTTCATTCTATTAATGTCATTAAACTTATTAATTAAATTATCACTTCATTAATTAAAGCAATAATGGGTAGGATCCCCAGGTGAGATGCATCAGAGTTTTGAGGAGTTTTGGTGGGAGCTGGCACAGGTGCTGAGCAGCACAGGCACAGGCTTTATTTCAGCTGGTTTACATCCACTAACATTTTCCCTTACACTTTCTGACACAGCCTGCAGCATAAATCCGGGTCTTAGCTGTGTGTGCAGCGTAGTCCTGGACTCAAAAACCAGAGCATGGAGCAGTGTGTTGGGAAGAAGATGGAGCAGACATGGGGGTAGGAGTGGGGACATGGCTGCCACCGCCTCTTGAGTTTATTGCAGTTTCTAAATATGCACAGATCTCATGCAAAGTGCTGAGCCAAAATGCCTGTGGTGCTGGATCTGGGGGTATTGGAAATGAGGGTTAATCCCTGAGAAAAGGCACAAGCCCAAATGAATTTGTGCTGTGCAAAAGCCATAGCAAGTGCGCAAAAACACGCTTGGGTTTCACTTTGAGAGTTCCTCCTGGGTTTCTGTTTAGGAGTGTTGGAATGGGAAAAAGGGAAAGGAAGGGGACACCCTCACAGATAAACCTGAATAGTCCCTTTGCAGCCTTTCCCAGTTTGTCTCCTCCTGGAATGGGCTGAGCCAGCAGCACCATGGCTCTTACTGGATTTTACCTGGGAGGCAGCAGCCATCCCCAGCATCTAGTCCAGCCCCAAAAGCTCTGCACAGCACCCTCAGGTTTCTGGAGCACAGGTGACAGCTTTTCCTTTGATTTCCTAGGGGAAAAAGAAGAGACGAACACGGGAAAAGCAGCAAGATTCCAACTCAGGTAAGTGCGTGCAGCCTGGCAGCTGTTCCTGCTTTCCTGCTCAGATGGGAGAATCCAAAGCAGTTGTTGTGTTTTCTTTTATTCTCCTGAGCTTAACTAGAGAAATACACACTCTTTATTTTTTTAAGCTATGGTAAATTAACATTTCTGTGACTTTTTAATAGACATGTTGGATTTAGAACATGGGCAGTATGTGAAAACTGAAAAGATTAGATTTTGGCAAATGTATAACTTCATATAAACTATCAGACCTACAGATGTTATTAACTAAAGAAAACTCCTCTCAAATACATCCATATTGTGTGTGGTATGAAATGCACCAGTGGTTGGACTGAAGATCACTCATGGGACTACTCCAGGTTTGGTTGTCATTTCAAAGCAATGTGGAGTTGAAGCAGTCATACTAAACCCCACCTCCCTGTTCCACCCTGCTGATTAGAAAAGGCCATTTTGACAGATTGCAGCTGGTCACAGGCACATTCCCATCATCCAGGTCTATTCATGTGCTGATTTCTGAAGCATTTCAGCCATATCAGGAATAAATATTATCTGTACCAATAAACATTCATTAAAAAGGGAATCATTATCAAGAGATGCATCCCAGTAATACCTTCAGTTTAATTAACACTGTTTATCTCATTCAGTGCCGAGTCTGATAAGAGAAATACAAGCTTTTAGGCTTTTATGTAGAGTGCATTGTATATTTTTATATATCCATATATATGTCTTGACAACACCAGAGAAAAACATGATGTGCCTGAAATCAAACTGGGCTTCACCCTAATGAGTCCTGTAATTATACAGTAAAATAGCAATGGTTGAGGAAAGGCCATGGAGAACAGCTTTTCCATTAAAACTGGAAGGGGTATGATGGGGGCAGAGTGGAATACCTGGGCCTTGGTCTCCTTGGTGCTAACTCTGCTTTCAGCCTGCTTCTGCAACATTTCCTCCTCTTTCCTCCGTGCACAGTCCGAGCTTGCTGGCAGCCTGCATAGTGCTGCTGGAGAGGCAGGGAGCAGGTAAGGATGCAGATACAGGAGTCACCTCCGGGATTTAGCAGCTTTTCCAGACTTAAGAAATTTGAAGAGCTGTGAATTTCCCTTGAATTGTCCACCTTTCCCAAACCACCTCCAGTGCCAGCAGTGATCACTGATGCTTGCCTACCGATCACTTTTTTCCAGGTGGTGCCAGCGTCATTCTGTAGCAGAAAATAATGGGATTGTAGTCTGTTAGTGGTGTGTTCAAGTGGCTAAAATGATGTTGCCTCTTTTCTTCCTCGTGCTCCTCCTCCTCTTTGTGCCTCTGCCTTGCCCATTCTCTGCCGCGTGCTTCTGTGCTTCTGTGTTCAGATCCTGCCTCTCCTAAGAAATGCAGAGCTCGCTTTGGCCTCAACCAACAAATGGACTGGTGCGGCCCGTGCAGGTGTGTATTGGCATCTCGTCACTGCTGGGTGTTCCTGGGACAGTGGGTTCAGCTCCAGGTGTTGTTCTGCAGCCATCCCAGCACCAGCGAGGGCTGCTCCATCCAGGCAGGGATGGGGTGTGATCTGGGCATCCTCAGGAGTTTTCTGAGCTGCAAAGGACAGGCTGTACTCTGGGATTTTTATCCCTTCCGGGGCAGTGTTGGTTTAGTGCTGTACATCTTCCCCAGCTGATGGACTTCCCTGGTCTTAAAAGCTTATTTCCAGGATGGAGACCTCTGTGACCCTGACATGAGGGGTTTTTTTTCCCTCCATTAGTGCTTTCCAATCACATTAGTGGCACCCTAGGGCCAGCAGTGAGGATTTAATGTGTTTCTTTCTTCTGTTTATACTGGGCTAACCATGTATTTCAAGATCCAGCTCTTCCTGAGCCTTAAATTTTGCAGTATCCACCATGGGTGGGGTGGGACAGCCTCAAGCAGCAAAACAGAGCAGTGCTGTGCTCCTCGGGCTCCCAGAGATGGATTTGGCCATGCAATAGTAAAGTTCCCATCAACCAAGTGCTGCTTAGCTCAGATGGGCTGCAAAGGCAGCCAGGCAGAGAAAGCTCCTGAGAGCTTCTGGATCTGGGTGCCATAGCAGAGAGACTTCAGCTTGGACAGAGGTCTGCAATTTGCAGTTTTACACCAATACATTGAGGAAAAAGGTGGAAGTGAAGTACTGCTTGATGTCTTCACTTCAGCTTGAAGTGACTAAAATAATTTAGTCAACTCAAATCTGGCCCAGACCTTGCTGCACCCCAACCTCCACTCCGTGTGGCTGAGCCCCATGTGAGCTCCCCTCCTGCACCTCAGTGTGCCACAACAGCCACAAACCCTGATTGTTTTTTACTCCCTGAGTAGTGTCATCAAGCACTGTTTTTTAATTAAGAATTCAGACAGAGCTCCCGTGGTGTCTCATTAATACTGGACTGTCCAGAGGGGACTGCTGGCGCGCCCCATGCCTCCTGCAGCTGTGCCACCAGGCTGAGTGCCCATTCTTACATGGACACTTCTTCCACCTTCCCTCTGCCTCCATTCCAGCTCTGAACTCAGCTTCTTCTCTGCACGGCTTCCCAATTAACACAGGCTGCTGGAGTGCCCAAACCTTGGCATGTTCTTCTTGTGTCCCCTGTGTAACCTTGCCCTGGTCAGCCAGAGCTGCTCTGCAATTCCCATACTAACGTGCTGCTGCCACTCAGGGGCTCCTGTCCAACGTACTCTGCTCACCTGTAGAGAGAACAATTTCCTCAGGAGGATTTCTATGCCACAGGAGAAGTTAACTCGTTAAGACTGGGTGTTCCTGCTCTAGAGCTTTCACACGCCTCCCCCATACCCTGGACAAACACTCCAAGGTGCTGTAGTTTCCAAAGGGAGAGGGATAAATTCCCTTAAACAGAGAGGAATTAACCCCTTTAGCTGTGTAACACCCACCTCAGCATAACCCATGGACTGGGCCATTATCAGCAGTCCTGTAGTATCACATCTGCTTTTTTTCTCCCTGTTATTTTAAATCCAATGAATCAATGGGCACATTTCTGTAATCTTAAACAGGTCATTGAAACTATCCTGCAGCTACTCCCAAGATGTCTCTGGGAAACACAGCTCCTCCTCAGGCTTGTCTCTGGGGAATTACTACCCATGGAAAATACCCTTGAGTTAAATACTCAGTTCAGCTGAACTGTCATGTTTCCTATCGCATTAATTGGGTCAGCATGGCTAACGATGGAACTGACAGCAGTAATAGCACTGCTCTTGTTCACATCCAGTGCAAGTCATGTTTAATACTGGACTAGTTAATGCAGTCTCACCCTATCTGGTTTTTCATTAGGAAGATCAAAGAAAGGTGTGTGCCTGCATTAGTGAGTTCTCCATTTGATCCATTTTCTTCAAATGAGACAGCTGAGGCAGGGAGCCAGGTGGGAGATGTTCTTTTACCTGTTTTTAGCTGTAAAGGCTCCAGCAGATGAATTGTCCCTTCAATACTATTAAGGTGACATCTTTTGTTTGAGGATCTACACTGAGGTGCTCAAGGACCCAAGGCAGGTGGCATGAGGGATCTGTCATGTGGAGAGAAGGAAAAGCAGCTCAACAAAGAGTGAACACAAGATAGTGTGAGGGATTAACTCTGGACAACCAGGGGTAGTTAAAATAATCTGAATGTACAAGACAACACCTGGAACTCAGGATAAATACTGAACAGGATGTGAAGGAATCATGGCAAAACCCAGCTACAGCAAGAATGATGTGTGACTTGTATTTTTGATACCCCCAAATCGTAACATCCAAACAAGTGGGGAACCTGAATGCTTCTTCCAGGAGGGATGAAGGGAGGCTGGTCCTTGCCCCCTCAGGCAGGTGCTGCTCAGTCCCAGCAGATTTCTTGCTAGAAGAGCAGGAGTGGGTGAGGGAGCTGCCCCCAATGGGTACTGTCCTGTAAAAGCTCCTTTGGGTCAGTAAAGCCATCCCTAGATGATGAGCTCTGTCACATTTCACAGAATGGAAGCATGAGTCTGTCACCACTGCAAGACCATTCCTATACCCTTCTGGCAAATCTTTCTCCCTAGTGACTGCCCACCTTGCATTTTGTACCTATACTCCACTTCCCAAGGGAGAGGCCATGGCAAACATTTCCTCTCCAGGAACCCTGTGGGCTGAAATGTAATTGGTAACTCTCTCAAGGCTCATTTCCCCGTAGCTCAGTGAGCAAGTTAAAGGTGATCTGCCCTCCAAGGAATAACAAGTCCTCTGAAGACCTCAGGACTATTCCAACTTTCAAGTCAGGCCCTCAGACACCCTCAGACCGTCTCCCTCCAACCATTCCCAGGCCATTTCCTTCCCTTTTCCTGAATGGTTGCTGAGCACATTTCTGCTCAGCTGTACCATTAAGTTGTCCTTGGAGGTAAGGATGAATGGGAAGTACACTGAGATGCAGAGACAGAGTAGAAAAGAAGAGCTGAGAGCTAAGGCTAGGTTGGATGATACTTGGAGCAACCTCTGTCTAGTGGGAGATGTCCCTGCATGTGACTGGGACATTGAAATGGGATAAGCTTTAAGGATGCTTCCAACCCAAACCAGTCCATGGTTCCAGGTAGATTATACTGTGCACAGGGCTAGGAAAGTGCCGGGAAATGGCTCTTGGAACCTTCAGATTTTGGGATGAGAAAAGCAGAGACTGGTGTGAAGGGCAGTGTCCTAGCAGAGCACAACCTGGTGCTGCTGCTAAGCACAGTGGTGCTGACATGCCCTTGTGACACCAGTGCACACAACTGTCCCTGGGCCCTGCGTGGGCTCTGCAGCAGGTGGGGAGGGGACCCATGGTGGGGAATGCTTTAGTCCTGAACATGTGAGATCCAGGCATCCACACAGAAATCGAGCAGTTGGGGTGCTGGCTGGTGAGGAATGACCTCACGGGTTGGATTTTTACTATTATTTTCATTTTTATTTTAAATTGTTTGGGGTGTTTATTATTATTTATATTGTTATTTTAAATTTCTATTGTCTCACTTTGTATTATTATTTTCATCTTTGTATTATTATTTTCATAGAAATGAAAACAGCAAAAAAGGAAAAAAAAAGCTTTGATAATTATTATTATTTTGGGGTTGTTTTGTTGGGGTTTTTTTTCCTTTTTTGTTGTTTTTATTTCTATTCCTGCATTTTGGTTTTTACTCCTGTTTGATGCCCTCCTGCTGCTCTCTCCCGTTGCGGCCGAGCCCCTTCCCGCGGGCCCCG